TTGAGTCTGTTAGACACCAGCTAACAGACTCAAAGAGAATGACACTTTGGATATTCTGTAAAGGACATGACACTTCCATTTCAAGCAATATCAACTGTGATTCATAGCAAATATTAATACACAACACTATCCACCAAACCTTCCAGATTAGATTGGAAAAAGTGTTTCCAGTGTTCTATATTTTAAATAATTATGTTTTTGTTTATCCTTCAGTGACAGGATTGCTACAACACCTCAGGCATGGTGAAAAGAAAGACTGCTCTAGAAGGTCTTTCTCTGGAATTACTTTATTGTGAACAAATTTATTAACAAAAGCATAAACAAGCTATTATTACCTCAGTTTTATTCTGTCTATAGTAGCCTAACCTAAATCTGTAGAACTACCCGGGTGCAGGCATCATTCTCTGACCCCTAAGTCCTTTTCTAGTTGTTTAACTGATTGTTGGGTCTTGAAGTGGTTATGAGAGTCTGTATCTGTATACTTTTATAAATCTCTGTTTTATACACTTGCATTTTATTAGGAATTCAAAAGATTGGATTAAATGCTAGCAGCAATTTCTCTTAGCTAACAATATTAACTACCTAATATGCTTATGCCGCCCACAATGCTAAAGTTTGTTAGATTATGATGTACCTTACATGCATTATTTATCCAATGTGTTAGCAGGCTAATATTTCGTTGTTAGCACAGAACGCAAACTGAGATGAAGTCTTGAATTCAACTTTTTCTTTTTTACCTTTTCACGTTCAGACAAAGGAACATCATCAACATTCAAACCTTCTTGGAAAGTTGGTGCTACATGAAAAGGTGGTCAAAATATTCATGAATTATACACGTCCAGATTTAATTTAGCAGGTTTTGACATTAAAAAGGCAACATAAAAATGAATGATCATTTAAATTTAGTTGTAGGAGACCTACATCACAACATGGATTTTGTATATTTTTGTACATTTTCCTCTCATTTTGTTCAATCAGAAGGTCGTAGGTTCGATTCCAGCTCCCTCCTGTCATACGTTGATGTGATGTGCGGGCAAGTTGCTTGCCAATCTGGCATTGGTGTAAAAATGTGTGAGCCCAAATGGATTAACGTGGCTGTAGTGTAAAGCACTTTTTGTCGTATGATTGGAAAAATGCTATAGAAGTTCAGTTCATTTACCATCATGCTGATTTACCGACTACACCAAAAATACATAATATTGATAGCGCTCACTGCCAGGTCATTTCTAAAATCTAGAATATTTGTGTGACATATTAAATTCTTAAATAATAGCACTGTTGTTTCAGATAAAGATTGTATTTTTTTAATCATTTATCAAAAACAGAATTTTAAAGTATATTCAGTGAAATTCTTATTACTGTAGGCTATGCGGCATTGCTTTAAGATAACTATATTTAGGGAACTGTACCTGTAATAATTTCTTCTGTTGTACATCTTTGGGCCAACACTGCCCCCTAGAGAGCAGAACCTGGCAGACTAGAATTGTCCAGTTTACTGCGGCTCTGATTAACCTTTTAATAAGCTTATTTGCTTGCTGTGAAGGATAAACTTGTTGCGGCTGTAATTGTAAATTGAATTGTATTACTGAACTTCTAACCATTATTGTTTTTGTTTTTTTTTGTAAAAAGTGTACATGAAGCAACAGGTGCAGATTTGTAGGGGGAAAAGTCTGCAACTGTTTGCCTTTCAATCAATCACATTTAAATCACGACTGACTTGAACATTCAAATTTGCATTTCCTGAAGCTTAGACATCTTGTAAGCCTAAGAGCTTTTTTAAATTTTTTTATTATTTTACAAAAATAAATATTAGTGATACATTTGCTTTAAAAGAAATACATCGTTTGCCTTAATAAGTTTTGAATAAATTTTTAATAAAAAAAATAAAAGAACCTAAAACTTGTCTACGAAGTCTTTCACATAAAACAATTAAAACTGAACAATCCACAGAAATCTTTACAAAGCATAAAATGTATTTTTGATATAAACAAGAACATCTGGAGAACGAAAAAGATCACTTCACAGTGGTACTTAGTTGAAAATACGTTGTTTAGCACCACTATTTAATCTGCTTTCCCTTCATCGACAAGTCAAACACTGAAAAAAAATTTACTTTTATCCTTGTTCATCAAACTCATTAAACCTTCTTCAATGTGTTTTATACACACATCGACGATGTACTTTCCTGAACTTTTTAGGAGTTTAGTAGAACTCAAAGGTTACGAAGAAATGCCTTGATGACCTCTAACAAGGAACCTGCTGCAATTTTTCTTGTCTTTTATGTCATGTAGTCTTTAAAAAAAAAATCCAATCAGTTGGTCAGACGTTACTGTTAAAGGAAACCGGAAATCAGTAATGGCTGGGAAAAGCAGATCGGTGCGCCTTTAAAAATAAGCGTATGATTATATGTAAGAACTTTTTTTAAAAAAAATGTTTCTCTGTCTCACTTAATACAGAATAAGAAAAACATAAAAAACAAAATAAACAATTCTGAAATATTTTTTAAACCTTACCTTTCCATAGCTGAGGATGTTTTACACATTTCTTAAGGCCTTGAGGGAAAAACATTGGACATTTTTTGGCCAATAAATTACAGTGAACAAAAACAGATCAGCTACATAATATATATATATATAATATATATAAGTTTGATTAAATTGATGCCATTAATAGTTTACTTCTCAGCCAGCTGTGGTGGTTCTAAATAAAAATGAAGGGTTTTAACATCGGGAGACCAAAGCCTTTCAAACTAACTTGAACTCCATTAAACCCTCAGGAAAAATGAAGAGTTTCCACTCCTGTGCCAAAGTGGGTCCATCCTCAAGGTCATCCGGGATTTTAGTTCCAGACAGGTAGACGTGCCAGGCCTCCTGTGCTGCTGCTGCGGCAGCTTCGTAGCTTCTGTCCTGGTCCAGAGTGCAGCGAGCTTGGAAGTAGCGGTCAAGAACGTCCAGAATGGGATCCATGGCTGAGGGGTCCCGGCTTTCCTGCCCGCTGTCCGCGTCCGAGAGGAAGGAGGCAATGGTGCGGCAGGGGGCCGAGCTGGAGCCCCTCTTTTCCAGGACTTCGGTGAGAAAGGCAGCGGTGTCGCAAAGCAGCGCCGCCAGATGAGCAGCGCGAGACTCGTCTCCTGAGTGAAAGCCAGCATGGCTGCTGGCCACGGCGCCCCGCAGGAAGCCGTCCAGTCTGTCGATGATGATGAGGGAGGGCGGGCAGGGGAACTCGTGAAGGCTGGCGACCTGCTGGAGTAGCTCCTCCAGGGTCCGGGGATAGCTGAATGTGATTTTCTTCAAATAACAGTAACAATAATGTTAATCATAAAAAGTTACAAATGAGGTGAGAGTAAACTGTCAGACAGTAGCTGAGACTGTAACTCAGATAATCCTGACATGCTGTAATGAATAAGTTGCTAATAGTTTCTTACTTTTTAGATGAGCAAACATACGCAATCCCACACCGAACATCACCGGTTTCGGTTTATTGTTTTTTTTCCCCATATTTTTGTCAAATTACAACTAAAGATGCACCAATCTGATATTAATATCGCTATAATATTGAAAAAAAAAATCTAGCTCAGGTATTGATAATGTGGCCAGTCCATAAGGGTAGATCTATTCAGTGTAATTCTATATTTTGTACTACGAGTGACATCACGATTTATTATTTATTTTACATTAGCTGTTATACTAATAATTGCACTGACTGAACAAATTAAAGTTGTGTTGATTTTACATGTTTGACCAAGCCTGTGAAGCTGCTGGTGTAATTTTAGTGTGCTGTACTGTTGCAGTTATCAGATACATTTGTACTTCAGTACAAATGTCAATGTTTTTTTTTCCCTTTTTCTTTTTTAAAGAAAAGTTTTAAGTCAACTGAGCACTGTTTTTCTGCATCGGATCGGTATCATCCGATACTAAACCTCAGCTATCGGTATCAAAAGAAAAAAAAAAAGTGGATCGGTGTATTCCTACTTCAAACCTCATCGAATGCTTCAATGAGCTTGCCTCGTTGGCTCGAAATGTTCTAAAGTATTTTACTGATTTAATCTAGATTTAGTCAAGGTAAAATCAGAATTTTCTGAGCTTGTATTTGCTACTGAAAGGTTGCTATGATCTGAGGTGTCCTCCAGGTGTCGCTGTTTTTAATTATACTGAAGTCATGTACTTTTTGTTTGCCACCATCAGAGCTTTCTTTTACTGTTTGCAGCCTTCACGGAACTGTTTTAAATTGAGATTATACTACACATAGGCCGGTTTTGTTTATTAAACAGTGACTTCTGGATGCAATTAGAGTTTATTTAGGAGTGTATGACTTAATATCTCAATATCTCTTCCAAGCACTACATTGTGTTGGTGTGTCATAAATATTCCAATAAAACACACAGAGGTTTGTCGCTGTAACGTGACAAAGGTGTAAATAGATCCAGGTATTCTGCTATATTTTTCTCAGTGGTTGTTGTGGTTTTCAGGGTAGTTTGGTTTACCTTCAGACCCTCCGGGTTCTGGGTCGCGCTGCATCTCTGCAGACACTCCGGGAGGCTCTGAATCTGAGTCTGGGCGAAGAAAGCCACCCTGACGCCGAGCTCCGAGGCGGCGGTGACGGCCGCCAGTAGCAGCACAGAGCGACTGAGGCGGTGCTCTCCCACTACCAGGGTGTTGGAGTGGGGTGCTGGGGGTGGAGGACCGGCACTAGGGTCCTTGTTCTGACCTGTCTGTGACGACAAGGTCCTGAACACCAACGTCAAGATGTCTGTCATCTGAAACCAAACAGAATTCACCTCGCACTCGAAGTTTCCCGCGGCTGTTTTCAGGTGGCACACCGGTGTTACAGTGAAAATGGTCCGGATAGAATACAAGCAACTGTGACTGTCACCATATAGATAATTTTGTTTATGGTATCCAGGGTTTATTTTCACATAAGCTCTTGCGTATATATATATTTAGCATTGATTCTGTTCAATGATAAGATTAACATAAACTACAATATCGTGCTTCCTGTGAGGTTTAAAGCAACTTCCGGTAATCACAGGATCAGCTGTCGGCGTTAAATACCAAGATGGCGCACTGTCCGGCAGACTGTCCTTCTGAGGCCGACCGAGCCGAGGACCGAGGTGTTCCGAAGCGGTGTAGGGGCCGGCCGAGGCTCACGGACTCAGACCGAGCTCAGAGGCGGCTGGAATCCCGAAAGAAGTACGACGTGAGGAGGGTGTACCTCGGAGAGTCGCACAAGCTGTGGAGCGAGCTCCGCAGGAGGACCAGCCTGAGTGATGCTGGGCTGGCCGAATACCTCATCCTGCTCAACTCCACTTATGGAGACAAGAACCATCAGGAGTCCTGCGGGTAAGAGGGGGGACACGAAGCGCACATACAACGGGGTGCATTTAAATCCCTTATGAAAGTGATGGTTGTGTTTCAGAAAGAAGACCACAGCAGGGGTGACTGGGAAACAGAAAGGAGGTGTGTGTTGTCTTTGCTTATCTGGGAATATTTTCAGGTTAGTTTCACGTTTCTATTTTGGGATTGTGGTGCCTCCCTACGTTCGACTATTTTGTCATATTCCAAGCACAGACTGTACTTGATTGGAATTTATGTAGGAGTACAGAAATAAATTGGTCCAGTTTTTCTTAATTTTGGAAGATCTACAACCGGCTGCTACTTTTATCTTAAACTTATCTTTTCCACCGATCTTATCCACCTCCGCAAGGTCTGAAATCCACTTTCCTCTTTTGTTCTGCTATGAGACAGGACTGACTGATGTACACTGTTGCCAACTTAGGAAATTTGTTGCTATTTTAGCAACTCTTCAGACCAAATAATTGGTATTTGCCAAGTCGAAATGTGGATTAGGCTTTTAGTGGATCAGTGATTGACCGGAAAACTGCAATCAGCGCACCCCTAAATTTATGCGACTTAAAAGTGTTGTGTAAAATTGAAGTGAAAAGACAGAATTGCATTGCTTTCCTTTCTAAATAAAAAAATAAATAAAATTTTGCTTTGGCTTTTACGTTTCTACAAGTTTGAAATGAAATATTTATTTTGAAGAAGTAAAATGTCTGAGAAAAAAAATAAACTGACTAAGAAAATAAAAACATGTTTTAATTAGGCCTGTCACAATAAGAAATTGTGCTGGACGATAAATCGTTCCAGAAATGACTGTGATAAACACAAATTTTCAGAAAACTTTCAATTTATACAATAGTAGTAATAATAATAGTGGCATATTATTAATGCAAATATACTAACTCAAAGATTATAAAAACGCTAATTTCTAAAGGACTAGGACTGGAAAAAACATTTTTAAATCTCCAAAATAAAAAGCAAAACAACAATAATTAGACTAGATTGTGAAGTCTCTTTAACTGAAATTGCACTAAAAATATTCATTCATTCATTCATCCTAGACAGGGAAAACAAATTTATCATGCGATTAATTGATTTATTGCTTATTGTTACCGACCTAGTCAATAATAATAAAACAACAAGAAAAGGAGTAGGAAGAAGTCGAAGCTTATTGCATCCTATCCCGATAAGAAAATTTCTCTGTTTTTTCTTTTCTTTTGTGTGTGTGTGTGTGTGTGTGTGTGTGTGTGAAAAATGTGGTTATCTTTGCTTTGTCTGCTGTCTATCAGGTAGGAAGCAGCGCGTTTCCAGCCTGCAGAGTCTGGTGAGTTGGTACCGGGAGCACTCGGCCTCCTGCCCCCACGAGCCTCAGCTCAGAGCTCTGGAACCGAAGGCGAACCTCTCCACCGCCGCCGTGTGGCGCTGCGAATCGGACCACTCCTTTGTGCAGTACCTCTACTCCCCGCCGAAGGAGATCAGCGACTCGGAGCGTGAAGAGAGAGGGAACCCCGACAGCGATGGAGAGGCAGCAAACAAAACGGAGCCTCCGTCGGTTAAAGGCGCGGCGGGCAGACAGAGAAGAAAGGAAGGCCACAAAAAGTGCAAAGGTCATAACTCTGGTGCTGGATTCTGATCTGCCTCATTAGCTTGGTTTCCATTACAGATGTGCGCAAATATTCGTCTGTATTCTCCTAATGTCGAAAATATACAATTTCACAATTGCGGTGTTTTTATTAAATATGAAATAAAATTATAATTATTCACGCGATAAGTTATTCAAAATTATGGCAGCGACGGATGTAAGCAGTTAGTTGAGACGTATTCATATTTCAGCCACGGCGTTAACAACCGTACCTGAGAGCGTTTTGGTTAAATTGATTCAACAGTTTCTAATGACGCGCCACTTTTTATGAACTTTGAGAGCTCTGGTGGAGCCAGCTGCACATTGTCCGAGAAAAAACCCCCAAGAAAACGTCGTCCTCCTACCACTTCCTGTCGTTGACTTCGATGGTTTCGCCAGTAACAACATCCGGCTGTTGATCACGTGACTCGTGTGACGCAAAAGAAGTGTTTCTATCTCAGTTTTGCAAAATACATCTATTTCCATACAGCAATAAACCACTTTGTTAAAGGACAAACACTTTTTTTCTAAATTGGCATGTTTCCATTTAGTAAATTTAATTTGGTACTTTAAATTTGTTCAATTTTATGGTTAGTGGAAATGCAGGTAGTGTGATTCTTCTTCTAACTTCTCTTTCGATGCATTGATGTCTTTTTTTTAATTTTTTTATTTTTTTTTTTTAGATGAGCTAACTGATGCCACGAACCAGATGGAAGAAGATGGAAACCAAAACCAGCAGCCAAGGATAGAGGCTTCATCTGCGCTGACAGGACAACCTGCCTGGGACGCGGTGTCTTTACACTCTGCCTCTGCCGAGGAAGAGGAGGGAGCAGCGCTGGAGGATGTGGACGGAGGTACAGAACAAGAAGGAGAGGGGGAGAAGCTGAGGACTTTAGCGCCTGATTATGACTACAGCACAGCAGCAGAAGCTTCTTTACCTGATGAAATGAACGAGGACAACCGGAGCTTGAGTGGATCCGTCACTCTGAGTTCTCAGCTGGAGGTGTCCAACCCGCCGCCTGCGCAGGCCCAGGATCAGACCCAACTGTTCCAGCCTCAGCCTCTGCAGACGGCAGCGGCCGACTGCGAACTTCCCAACCAGCGGACGGCGTTAGAAAGCTCCCAGGTAGGGCTGCACCTCATGTCAAGGACTGCTTATTACTTGAGGGCGGTGCAGCATTTCCCCCGGTGTATGATAAGCCTGGTGGGCCACCAGGCTAGTAAAAGCTCTCTCACTCGTCTTAATGCCAGGTTTGCTTCGTTGTCTAAAATAACCTAGAGGTGGATTTTCTTAATGATTTTTTTCTTAATTTCCTTCCTTCTGGTCTTTCCTCCATTTTGTTCATTTTTACATTCTTCCTCATGTCTATCCTACATTTAATTTTTTTAGTCATCGATTCCTTCCATTCCTGCCTTGTCCCTCCTCACTTTGCTCCCTCTTCTGTCTTCCTTGTTTTCTACATTTCTGTTTCCTTCCTTCTTTATTGCTTTCCTCCTTGTTCACATTATTTTCTCCTTTCTGTTTCTGTCTTTCTTGTTTTTTGTCTTATTTATTTCTCTTCCTCTTTTTCTTTCTTTGTGTATTTTTCTTTCTTTCTTACTTGCTTTTTTCTTCCATGTTTTCTTGTTTCTCTCATTTATTTCCTTCTGACTTTCATTCTTTCTCTGCTGTAAAAAGATCCTCCATAAATTCAAAGTGAACGTCAGCATTTCATATTTTTCAATAAACACAAAGCACTGATGATTCTGCAAAGTGAAGTCTAGAAAAGTGGAATTGTGAAATGCAGAATGTGGATGAACCTGGTAAATCTTTCTTTGTCCTCTTCCTCCCATTCCCAGTTGATCATCATCACTGGTCCCAGCTATGAGGCTTTGGCCTCAGAAGGAGTCCAGCTCAACATGAGCAGTGGAAACATGGAGGAAGTCACCTGCACCGTGATTGGTGGCGTCGCCTACAACCAGCTGTGTTCGCCTGACTTAAAAGTCCGAGACCCGCCAGAGGAAGATTCCCTGACAGGTAGTAAATATTCCAAGATAAACCAGATGGAGTTTTTGCTGGAAATGTCTTTTATTTTAAGGAAACATTATGAAGTTTTAAGCCTGGACTATGACTCTTGAGATAGTAATAGTTTCTCTGTTCTTGTTTTCCCAAAAAGACCTTAGAAAATCCATTGTTCTATCTAAATCATTGCGTTTTGTTTCCTGAGGTCTCATTATGTCTTGATCAGCATATGGAGGGCAGTGGAGCACAGCAGCAGAACACTTCCCTCCCGCAACTGATTTAGTAAATCATTTACCTCAGTTTCTAGAGTGTATCCACAAAAATGAAACGCACAGTTTTGGTCAGGGGAATAATGTCCAGACGGTTTCGGTTCTTTCCCGTTAACCAGCGCTTTGCAGTTTCTGGTTAAAAATTATCAGTGTGAATTTTTCCCAGTGGTGTTTTCCGGGAGCAGTAAGCATCCTCATTTTGGGTCTTTGGAGATTAGTAACCAGCCGTAGCCGTCAGAGAACGGCAGTTCGGCTTTTATGGCGGATCCGGAACGCCGGATGCAAATTATGTCTTCATGGTTGTTACGATCTGGGCTCCTGAAAACCGTTGAGGAATAGACCAGTGTTTGTTTCGTTTTGTTTTTTTCTGGGCCATTAAGTTAGTCATTTGTTTATGCAATACAAAGTCAGAGAAAGTGTAGTGTGATGTGTTAAGGAAATGAATAAATTAATCTTATTTTGATATGAGACATTGTTTCAGTTAATAAATGAATCAAGAATGACACAGAATGCATTGAGATTTGTATTTTAATTGAGGGTCAAGCAGAGAAAGAAATGACCGCTGAGACTCCCGACGGAACCCGGGAGGGAAGAGAAGAAAGTACAACGCTTTTAATATCCACCAGCTCTCTTACAGAGAGGGGAGGAAACGGGAGTATCCACCAGTTTCAGTTTACTTCACAACTCTGGTATTTGGACGGTTCAGAAATGCCCTTTATTATGCGCTTCCAGCTATCTGAATCCAACACAAAGTGTGCTTTATAGATCAAATTGATTGATTACTTGATTGATTGAAATGATACAAAGTTTTGCCATAGCAGATGTTAATAACATTCAGTTTTTAAAACTACCTTTACAACAGTCGAAACATTACATTTAGTAAGTGCCATCGTTAAATTCTTAATCGACTCCAAGCAGCTGGGTTGTTAGTCCCAGGGGGAGCTGAATGCTCCGGCTCTGTGAAACATTTTCTAATCCCTCCGATTCTCTGCAGGTTTGAGTGAAGCGCAGCTGGTCCAGAACTCCGATAACCTGGAGCTGAGCAGCAGCAGGGAGCTGCAGCGGAGTCTCGGCCGGTACGTGGCGGTCAAACTGCTGATGTTCCTGGTGTTGGCGGATCCTGCAGTCCAGGTGATTCCCTTTTGGGTTTTTTTCTTTTTCTCCGTTTCAGGTCAAAGAGAAACCGGCGTGGGCCGGTCATCGAAGCCGACGGCATGCTCAAGATGTTCCACTGTCCCTACGAAGGCTGCAGTCAGGTTTACGTAGCCATCAGCAGTTTTCAGGTAAAACGCCACAACCCGTTCCTTCTTTACCGATCACCTGGAGTTCCCTGGGGAGATTAAAAGTAACCGTTTGTTGTCTAGAATCACGTGAATCTAGTTCACAGGAAAGGAAGGACCAAGGTCTGCCCTCACCCCGGCTGCGGAAAGAAGTTCTACCTGTCCAACCACCTGCACCGTCACATGATCATCCACTCAGGTGGGCTGTGAACACATCAGAGACACGTCCTGATGAACTGCTTCCTGAGAGACCAGCACATCTATGTGTGTGTGTGTGTGTGTGTGTGTGTGTGTGTGTGTGTGTGTGTGTGTGTGTGTGTCTGTCTACAGGGGTCAGAGATTTCATTTGTGAGACATGTGGGAAGTCATTTAAGCGGAAGAATCATCTGGAGGTCCACAGGCGGACACACACAGGAGAAACGCCGCTCCAGTGAGTTACTGATGTCACATCCTGCTGTTACAGATGAATATTTTGAAACGCCACATGACCAGGGCCACAGCGATTCCAGATTTCTGGCAGACCACTGATCTTTGAAAGGCCTGACCTACTGATTCTGATTTAGGCCGATACAGATTGTTTTTTTTTTGTCTGCAAAATGACTAAAAATAGCAACAAAGTCGCTAAATTGGCAACAGCTGGGTGAGTATTGTGCCAACCACTTGCATGCAGATGTGGGCCGGTCAGTCAGGCCACTTTCACAGCAAAGTAGACAGCAGCTGATTTTCAGACCTTTGCTGAGGTAGAAACTATCTGTTTCTGACATATCGGCTGATGTCCGATCTTTATCAGCCGACCTCTACGTACAATATATAGAAATGTGAGCTTTGAAGTTGTTGGAATGTGAGCATTTGGAATATATACATAGAAAAGAGGATGTGATATTTAGATGTTTGGGTTTTTGTTTTACTGCAAGATTAGATCCAATATATTTAAATGTTTTCCAATCTGCCTCTCCTACTTTATCCAGACCAAAAATGGTTGAACAGGAACTTTAATCTGAGCAAAATGTTTCTATTATTACATTCTGTGTGTTGATCCATCACATAAAATACATGGAAGTTTACAGTTGTAACATGTCAGAATGTTAAAGTAGCATGACAGAACTTCAAAAGAAAAGTTTAAAGGGTTGAATACTTTTCTCAGGCACCTCAGATTACAGCTACATGATCATAAGACCTGTCTGTCTTTTCCCTCCGCCTTCCTGTGTGAAGATGTGAAATCTGCGGCTACCAGTGCCGCCAGCGTGCGTCCTTGAACTGGCACATGAAGAAGCACACACCTGAGGCGCTTTACAACTTCACCTGCGAGTTCTGTGACAAGAGGTTCGAGAAGCTGGACAGCGTTAAGTTCCATAAACTGAAGAGTCACCCGGAAAAGCAGGCGACCTGAGATCCGGGGTGCAGGATGGCAACTCGCGGGCAAACGGAGGCTCTCCTCGGATCCGCACGGCTAATGCCTGGTTACGGGGAGCATCTCGTCGCTGGGATGAAGCTGAAATGAGGCGGACCCAGCAGCGGTTCAGGACGCATGCTGTCACAGAGCAGAAGGGGCTGTGGGATTTCCACAGGAAAAATGCGAAGGACGCTCCACATGTTCTTAATAACCACTGACTGCCTTATTGACTACAGCAGTAACTATTACTTTCAGGGAGGGTGATTCAGATCGTTTCTTTGTTTTTGCTGAACGTCACAGTCTGACATGCGGAGGCCACGCCGGGATGCCTTACTGTCAAAATGAAGAGAATTCTAACCTGTGAAAGTCTAAGCAGTTCTAGAAATAGGAGGATTTGTTTTTTGTATTGTTTGTGTTCAAGCAGCTGAAACAGAAAATAATAATTTAAATATACAACTAATAAGGGTTATGGTTCGTTTAATATTAAAGCAGTGTGACGCAGGTCTGGTGAGCAACCAGTGGCTGTTTCAGGACCTGACTGTGACTTTAACAGCTGGACCGTTACATTATGTTTTAATTATAGGGAAGTGGTGGGTCACATGAGCAGTGTCTGTGTATCCCATAAATGTATGAGCTTAGCAACACGTCTCAGGAAAACAGCCATAAAATCCATTTTATTCTTTCTCTGTTTCACCGCCTAAATAAATGCACTTTTGCTTTTTGGCATCAATCTGTTACGTTGTGAGTTTTTATATAAAATGTTTTAACTAAATATTTTTTTCCTCTCCTATACATGGTCCAGTGTGCTTCTGCCTCATCTTATAAATCTCTTCTGGGAATGTGTGTGTCTTGTCCTTATAGACACTAAAAACACCATTAAACCTGTTGTGACTCCTAAAATCATAAAATCAGTCGAGTCTGTTGAAGCTAAAACGTGTGTGCAAGATTTCAACCAAATTCCCTCGCTTGTTTAAAAGGAAACGCAGTAGAGGGGTCCAGCACAAGCAAATCATAGTGTGTCTGTATAGGGAAAGAGAGAGGTGAAATAGGAAGTGTGCCAGGTGCGCCTTCTAGATCAGGGTGTTGAACTCATTTTCATTTTGGGGCTCATCAAAAATCTGAATGCTCTTAAATGGCCGGTGGTGCCAGAATGTATTGATAAAACCCGTTAAGTTGTAAAATTATCGATAAATAGCTGTTTTAGCATTCTGTTTCTTTAGATGCTGTCTTGTCACACTGATGAGTCCATCCAGGATTTTGATAGTTTTTGTGTTTTTCCTGCAGTCAAAATCACACATTTGTGTTGCTAATTTAGAAATAACAAATTTTTACGATATTTGCGCTAATATATGATGTTAAATGTTCCATAAAGGTCACAGACGCAGCAGTCACTTAAACCAAATGTTTTTGGCCAATTTTGAGAAATTTCAGTAAAATCAGAAAAAATGTGCGGATCTGTTGATTTTGTGCTTTTTTTGTGAAAAATTGGGTTATTAATGTAATGGCAGCTTAAGAAAAGCTACAGAGGTGAATACAAAAGTACCGAGCCAGGGGTACTTTCTATGGGAAAGAAAACTGAGGACAGTCGATCACGGTAAGCTCTACTTCAAAGCCCTCATCACCAAAAGAGAAATGATACAAAATGCTGGACCAGGAATTCCTTCCAAAGAAAAAAAATAGTTTATTCTGTTAACTCTTTCTAAATACCCCATAAGTTGAGAGAAGTGTGAAAATAGAAGTGCTGGGCCAGCTACCTCCCACTGAAAGAGTGATTATTCTTTTGTGAGTGATGTGCTCCAGGTATCTGTATTGATTGTGTTCGACTTTATCACACTACGAGGAAATATGGACCTAAAACTTAAGGTTACTTTTTTTTTTTTTTTTTTAACAAACTGTTCTACTTAGTTTAATGGTCATGTTTATGGAGTTCAATGACATTTGTGAGTTGAAAAAGTTAAAGTATAACAGTAACTACAGGATGATTAGGTTGAAGTCCAGGAGGTTAAAGTTGTGTAAAAGTCTGATTTTCACCTAGTCAAACCGGATGGGTCACTTTAAAACATGAAACCAGATCTCTGCCTACACTGTAGGAAAAACACACAACCCCTCATTGTCTACCGTTAAATCTTTGTTTTAGGATGAACAAAATAAGTTAGTACATGACTGAATCTGTTACTTCCTTCAAATTTAGACATTTGCACACAGCTGTGACTTTAAGTAACTTGGGAGTAGTCTGGATGATATCAGGCCTATATAAGATTCTGAAAGGTTAACTCACAACACCTGATCTGTTTAAGTCAGCACATATAACACACTGCTTCCTGGTGTGACATCATGGGACAAAAAAAAAAAGTCTGAAGAAAAATCTGAAGTTAATGTCTTTGTCACAAAACTAACCTCATCCTTCAAAATGACCGACAGGCTCAGATGAACTCAGTTAAAGGAGGAACGGACTAAAGATCCAGTAAATCCAGTGAATATTTATAATAAATAATAAAAAGGATACTCAAAACAAATACTTTCTCTCTCTCTCTCTCTCTCTCTCTCTCTCTCTCTCTCTCTCTCTCTCTGTCACTATTTTGGCATTTTGCAAATTGAAATTCTGATGAAAACGGAAACCGTTCAGTTTGATTTAAAATTAGACCGTAAGCAAAACCCCCCCAAAAAAGATAGGTCCATTTTTACAGTGTGTAAAAATATTTGACTTCAACTGGATGAACAACTGTTTCCTGTTAAAGGTGTTACTTCCTTAAATACAAGTGTAAGACCTGTATGCTTTGTACTTAATTGATACGAAACACACACAGCAGGAATGGATATACTGCATCAATGTACAAAAAAAAAAAAAAAAGGAAAAACATCGTCTTCCACTTAATTTCACTGCTGGAAGCCGTGCGTCTGAATGGGCATAAATCTGTAATAAAAGAACAGAGTGCTTTTCATGGTGTGGGTAATACATCAGAATTTTTTCCTGCCCTGAGGTACTACTAAACCTCAAAAACATCAAGGCAAACAGTTTCTTTCTTCCTTTCCCATCACCGTGGAAAGACAAACCCATCCCAGCTCGTGTTGTTTGCTCATTTAACCTGTTTGACCACTTTCCTCCGTTCGGTTTTGGATATATAGAACGATGATGTTGTATTTGTTGCAGCACATGATGTTGAAGTCAAAGTATCATATAGTTGTCTTTGTTTATGTAGCAATTTTAATGCACTTTTCAGGACGAGTAAGTTTCAATTTTTATCCATGTGGCGTGGAACTCAATTCAAATTTCATTCAAATCAATCCGATTGGGATAGAAAAAAATCAAAAGCAGGGGAAAAATCAATACCAGTGCTACGGTTCAAATCAAATTATATTCCATCTGAATATAATCAAATTATTTAAAGTTGGTAGGAAGTTGTTTAAGGAAGCCGAGCTGATTGCATTAAGCCATTGTTTTCACTGTGATCTCATATGCTGAATAAGAATTTGATCGAAGATGAAAGCAGGCATTTGTCATATCAATTATCATTTATCAAGATACATTTATTGTTGTGATAAGACTTCTCATGAATCATTGACATGACAAATTCCAATTGATGATTTAAAAAAAAAACTGTTGTCAGGATTGTTAGCTTTACTATTTTCTCCACCATTTGTTCAATGAGAATATCATATCAAATACCAATAAATTTGAAAATATGTGATACAAATCACACTTCTTCAACTGACTGGTGTCCTAAAGAAGAGCATTACATATGGGAATGTTTTTCCAAGAGCCGTATTTGTGTTTGTGTGGCTGTTATCGCTGTGTCATGAAGTCACGGATATACCTAAAGTTACCTGAAAAAAGAAGCAATAAATAGTTCTTATCATAACTTTTGGCATCATCACAATAGTACCACAAAAAATTGTGAAAAATATTTAAGCCCACTTCACCTAACATTAATAGAACTTAACTTATTTTCCAGAAGAAGAAACTTCTGGCAGAACCAGGACAGACGTCTAGGGATTGGAGGGGAAACGCATAAAGGCTACACTGAACCAGGGGTACTTTTTATGAAAGAGAAGAACAAGGAGAGCACAAAGATAACGGCAGCAGCCAATCCCCTGGGAGGTTCATCCCAGAGGCGCCAGACCAGGGGAACTTACTATGGGAAAGAAAATACCTCTTCCCTTCCCATTCCCAACCAATTCAACCACAGTAATAGCAGATGATTTTGCTATTTTTGAGAGAGCTGAACAAAAAAAGATAAAAAGAGACAGAGGACAGTGGGTACATTCACTAGTAATAAAAAAAACCACAGACAACTTGCTATCCAATACTCCATCACGACACCATTACTTCAACAACTGTTCGAACACGAACACTCCTCTTTTCTCTTCTTTTCTCTTCTTTTCTTTTCTTTTCTTTTCTTTTCTTTTCTTTTCGTTGAGCGTTTAAAATCGACAGGTCTGGTCTAATAGACAACATGTCTAATATTTCCCGAAACTTCTGTCTGAAACTAAAGCTGTGTTTCATGGAGCCCACTGGCAAGCAGACAGATATGTTTGCATGCCCTTTGGTCATTTGCATGCCTGCTATAGGTAAGGCTGTGTGGCGGTGCACAGGTGAGTTTTCCCTTCCTCCTTCTTTCCCTCCCTCTCTGTGGATTTAAAAGGATCCAGCTCCATGGTGATGTGTTATTACTCAGCTGCTTTGGTCACACCCATTCCACCCACCACCCTCCCCTTCCTAGTAGCTTTAACCTCAAAATAACATGATACTGCTTAGAAAGTACTCCAGAGGCTCTTTTGTGCGCAACAGAGTGACAAAGGCAGAGGGAAACTAAGGAGACAGTGAACATATTCTGGGTCATTTATTGAAGACAGAGCGATCTTGTGTTCCTGTGACCTCACTGTGTTCTCCCACAGCAACAGCCAACCAGCCTCAGTAGTGAAGGTAGAGACTGAAGCAAACCACAGAGCTTCTCACCGGACGTCTACTGCAGCAGGTGAGTCTCTCAGCGACCCGAACTTTGCGACTTTAGGCTTGTGGAAGGAAGGGGTTCATGCGGTTGGTGTTTTTACAGTCTTGGTATCTGAAGCGGCATGGTGAGGGATCCATCCAACAATGACCCTTTGTCTCCAGGAACCTGCCTGCCTCTGAATGAAGCCCTTTGAGATTTATTCATCTTTTTTTTATGGAAGTCGGAGACAGTTGGGTTTTCCTGATGCAAGACGAGCAATCGCAAACTGTGCTTTACTCTTGGTACATTGTTTAATGGTGTAACAAACACAAGCACCTGAATTTTTGCATCTCTAATCTGTTTTTTTTTTCTACTTGTGGGTCATTTTCCAGACTTTGTTGAAGCGCTGTGAGGGACTTCCGGGAGACTTTAACTTGTTAATACATCACTTAGCTGATTCCTTGGTGTCAGAGTTCAAGTGCTGACCACAGGGAAGCAGGAAAGGTTTCTGAGCAGGAAAAACATTGCTGGAGTTTTGGGGGCTGTCCAGGTAACAGCTGGTTACATTTTGTACACCCCCCGACCGGTGAATGTATGATTAACTCAAGGCTTTCCGCTGAGAGACCAAACAACAAACTCCACATTTTGTAGGAAAGGCACATAAACAACAATGTAAGCGATAAGAGGTCACGGGGTCTTAAAAAGAAGCTTGTTGCTATAGACAATAGGGATCTGCCCTGCCATTGTCTTTGGGAATACAATTTATCTGTTATGTTGCGCCACACAAAGAGCACTGTTCCGCCGTCTTGGAGGTCCAAAGACGTGAAAGCTTTCAGAGGAGGAAATCTTAAAGTGACTCTGGACGAGTAGTTTGTGTGAGATGGAAAGCCAGTGTTTCTATGTATGCTGATGACAAAGTGCTTAGGTGTTTCTGAGTCACCATGAAATATTTTAACACTGAAAAACGTAGATGCATAAGAACTACGCATATGAAGCGTGCCATATTTGTTTTATACTGATGTAATTTTTGGATCAATTTACATCCCCATTTGGTACTCGCTTCCTACTTCTATTTTGTACCTGTAAAATAAATGTTTCATACTCTTGATCAGTAGCCATTATATATGTGTTGGGGTGATTTTTCCTTTCACCTCCTTTTCATTTCATGCTTCAGTTTTGTTTGCTTTGAATCTCAATTTTTGAACAAAAACTTCATCTATTTACATTTGTTTTCTGACAATGTGTCAATTTCTACCCATCAGTGGGACGTTTGGACCCTGCTTGGACCCAACCGATTATTTAAAGATTTTTTTTCAATACAATACCAATAGTCTACTGTGATAAATGTAGTTTTATGTATAAAAATAACATCTTTCAAACGGAAGTCCCTCAGAAAAAGTCAACTGGGCGAAACTGAGTTTTAGCTGAATTGTGTTGTAAGGCAAAGTTCAAACTGAGTTTATTTTCTGACTACTTATTGTTTGATAAAATTACCTAACTACACACAAAAACAAACTGCTGTGCTGTGGTCTAAGTGTATGAGTCAGCTTGGTTACGCTTGGTTATGAAATAAGAGTATGAATTGGCGAAGAGTCAAACTGACCTTTAACCCTTTTCAAACGGACACAATTTAAAAATGCAGAAGTACATAAATATGAGCAAACACACATGCTTCCTGCTCCCATTTTATACCATTACAAGATGGTATAAAATGGCTCATCACCATCAGTGGCCTCCTGGTCGCCATCGGTAGCCTCCTGGTCGCCATCGGTGACCTCCTGGTCGCCATCGGCTTCCTGGTCTGCTGTGGGGCTGTCAGGGAGTTTAATTAAATCCGTTTAATCAAACTCCGTTTCAATCCTGGTGATTCTTATCTCTGTTTGCATCAGTCGAATCCTTTGAATGTTGAGAGATTTTCCACTTCTGATTAAAGAAAATCAGAAATGAGTGACCTCCTGCCTTTAGATCATCATTTATCCATAATCACAACTCTCCCCAACGCCTACTGTGGATTCCTAACAATGGACAACTGGAAAATGATGAATCAATGATTAATATTATCTTTAATCATTGATTCATCAGCTGCTTTTGTAACTGATGATCCAGTACTTTTTTTTATTAATATATTGTAATCAGGTTATTAATAGAAAATCTGGTTGTACAATTATTAGGAAAAGGTTATTTCTAACTTAACTGGCTGATAAAGATCAAAACTTAAATCACTATAAATAGGATGGTGTTGCAAACATTTTCCATCCTACTAACTAAAATATCCCTATAAAATTAAAATATCTTTCTTCTGAAGGATCTTGTAAAAAAATGTGAGAAAAACAGAGAAACATACTTCCTGTATCGTCATCCTTCCTCTCCCACACGTTCAAGGAAGGGTAATAAACGCTATATAAAGGACTAAAGTTCTTTAAATGGTTATGAAGCTCACAAAAAGGTATAAAAAGCAGAGTTACGACATAATTTCCTTATTCCTGCCCTGTTTCTCTGGCCTAACAGCAGAAAGGGCCTCTTCCCAAAGGCTAAAGTGTTCAACAATGTATCACACTTTATCACAAAGTGTTCAACAATGTAGCACAGCGATGAGATGATTCATTATCAAATGCACGTATTCTGTCGTCATGATGACAAGACATATGATGAAAATACAGACAAATCTAAGAATAAAACTTTGACTAATGTCAAAATGTCCTCTTTTTTTTGCCTTTATAGAAATCATCAGCTGGAAAAATGGGGTGTTTTGGATTCCTCAAAGCCATGATGGTTGCTTTTAATGGCATCATCTTCGTAAGTAGCTTCGACTTTTTGTACTAAAACTCAGCTTTTAATTTCACAGGAACATCCGTGTGTGTGCCTGTGTGCGCACGCGTGTGTGTGCGTTTGTTTGTAATTTGTTTGTAACAACTTTTGTAATAACTTGGTAATAACCATTTTCCTGACACATACTACATTGTGGGGACCCACTGCTCCTTGTGGGGACTGAAGCCTGGTCCCTACAAGGGCAAACGCTGTTTTGGGTCAGGGGTTAGATTTAGGACTGAGATGTGAATTGAGTTTTGGTTATGGTTAGGATAACGGTAAGGTTATGCTATAGAAATGAATGGAAGTCAATGGAAAGTCCCCACAAAGATAGTCATGAAAATATATGTGTGTGTGTGTGTGAGACCTCCATGTGGTGTCATATGATGCCACAGTCAAAACTATGTGTTACAAAAAATTCACACAAATATAGAGAAAGGACATATGAATATGACACACATTCATCAATAGCTCCTTGTGAAAGACACCCAGGAGGATTTGAATAGGGCATTACAGTATCTGAATGGGTTATTGAGTTTTAACCAAATATTTAACTTGAGTCAGCCAGATATGGTGTCTGTGGTCCGAATCCTCTCAGGTTTCCAGGAAGTTATAGGAGCACCACGCAGCAAATACTGACATCTGGTGGCCATGATGAAGAATGCATGGATCCCAAATTCTATCCATTAAAACTGTTGTCTAAAACTGGATCTGTAAGGAAAATGATCCAAAGTGGAGAAAAATAGTGATGTGGCAGAAAATTTTAATTTTTAATCAAAATATTATTTCTGTGGAAAAAAGGAATTTATCTATGTCTTAATTTCTCTCTTGACTTTTCTCTTTGTTCATTTAGCAATATGCTTTCAACAAATTAGAATATCATCGAGAATCCCATATATTTTGGGAACTTTATCACAAATTGAAACACATTACAAAGTTTTCAAACACCCATCTGTGTGTAACTACACACTTTTGAAAACTTTTATTCCTCTTAAATCTGATGATTTTCCACTTAGAGCTAATAAAAACATGACATTTTAAATTGGAATATTATACCAGACCAATAAAAAGTATTTTTAATAACCATAGAAGTGGGCTAAATGACAAGTATGTTTAATATCAGACTAAAGGTCGTTATTTTCTAGAGAGACTTTTGATCTGTCACACGAGACTCATCCATACGTATTTTTTGATTTAATTAATTTGACTGTGTATAACTTTGATCTTACAGTTCAACCAGAATGATTTTCAAAGAACTTAAAGAGTTAAATCTAATCTTCTAAGGCTAAAGATGCAGATAAATGGTGCTAAAAATCAGTCAACCTTACAGTTGTGGTGTCATTTCCTTATAATCTCATTGAAAAACTTAAATTCCCCTCATGTTTTTACAGCCAAATGAATTGACACAGTTGGCATTCAGTAGTGTTCCAGTATTCAAATAATTTTGCATTAGTTTTTTTTGTTGTTGTTTGTTTGTTTTGCCCTTGTTCTCCCAGGCGGTCTAAGTTCTCCTCTAAAACCCCGTTTTCTCTCCCGTTCAGCTGGCCGGGGTCGCCATCCTAGGTGTGGGGATCTGGGTGAAGGTAGACAGCGGCTCCATCTTCAGCTTCCTCGGGAAAATCGATAACGTTCCTCAGGAAATCCATCAGGTGCTCAACGTGGGATACCTGCTGATCGCCATCGGTGGCCTGCTAGTCGTCATCGGCTTCCTGGGCTGCTGTGGGGCCATCAGGGAGAGCAAGTGCATGCTGCTGCTGGTAGGTGTTTGTCACATTTCACCATTTCAGAAATGGTGAAATTTCAAAAGTCAAAAGATCAAAAGTCCCACTTGTCAAAAACAAGTTGTCAAATTTTAGGAAATTTGATAAATGTAATGATACAAGTGCAATGAAATAAACTGGTACATCCTCAGAAAGTAATTATTGCAGTAGTACAATTTAAAAAGTGACACGTTTTGTTTGTCTTCTGATATTGGCCAATCAGCTAACAATACCCCGAAGTCCTGCTTCTTAAAATATTTTTATATTACTTTACACAGATGAAAAGTGGAACATTTTTAAAGAAAAGTTATATTATGGTCAACAGTTATGACTAACATAGGTAACGTCACAGCTGTCCAGCAGACAGCCACTGATAGTCTCCACAAGAATAGCTAGACAGAAAAGGTCAGTCCTAATGAAGCTTGATTCTCACACAATACTTTGTCTAACAAAATAATAATGGAAGGTTTAGTGGAAGGAAAAAGTGCAGTCAAAAAGTGTTCAAACCACAAAAATAAACACAGTTTTGCTTAGGAGTGATTATAAAATTCATCAGTAAAGTTTACCTCATGATGCCTCAGATATACTTTGCTGTTCATTTCTGACTCTGATAGTCTAATGAACAATAATTAATAATTATCTTATGCTAAACTGGGAAAAGTTAAACCCTCCATATGTAGAGGGTGAAATGAAATCAAATTACAAACACCTGCTTACCCAGGCCCATCACTGGGACAGGTCAATAGGTCAACCCAGGGCAACACAGACGGACATTGGACACGCAAACACAAACACATTTGTAAGGGCAATTATGAGAGACAAATACATTTTGCATGTATGTTTTTGGAAGCAAAGAGACTTGGATAGACACTCCAAAAAGAAAGTCTCAAGATCAGGATTCAAATGTCTGGCATCAGTGCTAACCGCTTCTCCACCATGCAGCCTTCATGGTGTAATATGCATTTTGTTGGCCTGTTGTTACATAATTAAGTAAATAAACTTCAGAGGAGAGATGTCCTTCACAAGATATTTCCTTGTCTGATTTATTTTATGTGGTGGACAGCTATGTGCAATAGCCACTTGTTTCCAGTAGATGTCGACATAATTACATGCATAAGTTTAAAACTAGTTCTGAAAGGGACACACAAAAATGAAGCGCAAGGAAATAAGGCAAACACATAACATAATAAATTTAATAGATTGAGCTTTAGTTGAGTTGTACAACCAGAGTTGTAATGAATGCAGAAAATTCAGAAAAAGCTAGTCATCAATGCTGTTTAAGTTCTTGAAAGCACCACCAAAATCCATCCTAATGCTAAGCTAAGCTAGTGTCAAGTTCACACAATGGTTACTCACGTCTTACCTTTCTAAAAAGGAATCCTGAGCTCTGTTTGCTTTTTGGAGTTGAATTTTATTCCCATTCAGAAATTAGGACATGAACGCATCCAGAAATTAACATTTCATGTAGAAATCTCTGGGTTTAGCATCTAGCATGGCTACCACCACAAAGACATAGGGGAAGTAGCAGGTACCAAGTACATGCTAGCATATCTAACAATTCAAATCTTATTGACACATCTTCATAATGAGGTCTTCCTCCAGTAGTGTTTAAACACATCAGATAGATGTGATGCTAATAGTGATTAGCATCACAACAATTAGCAAATCCTACAGTATTTTAGACTCGTAATTGGGAGAAACTCAACTTGAATGTTGTCATTAAAATATTTGAGGCAATTACAACCCAGTATCGGCATTTTATTTAAAAAAGTTAATTTATCAACATAGAAATTTCTGCTTCAAGCATGTTTTAATTTATAGGTAGCATATATATTTTTTTAAAAAGCTGCCATCACTTATATCTTTTAATCTGACCTTCTTTCCAGTTTTTCATGATAGTCTTGCTGGTTTTCATCGCTGAGGTTGCGGGAGCGGTGGTCATTCTGGTTTTCAGACCTCAGGTGAGTGACTGAAGGAGTTCAGACAAAATGTCCTTTATAACAAGATAGGAGGTAACATCTAATATTGTACGTTTTTGTTAGGCTGATGCACTGTTTGAAAAGATTGGCACAGCAGCAGTTGCTAACATCAAGAAAGACTTTGGCAGCAGTTCTGACATTACTGGACTGTGGAATACCACCATGGGCACGGTACACGAGACGTCTGAACCTACGATGAGTTCTCCTTCACAGCGTTTCCCCACAGCTCATCTGGTCTGCTCTCTCTCTCCCTCTGCAGTTAAAATGTTGTGGATTTTACAACTACACAGACTTTACGGAATCCCCGTATTATACGGCGCACAACAATTCCTATCCACCACACTGCTGCCCGGACAGCAGCCCATGTAATGGAACTGTGGCAATTGAAAAAGTAGGATTTTTGAGGCTATTAGAAAATGTGACATTTAGTAATTTGGTTACTATTCATTAATATCTGCTGTAAATTAAAACTTCTGTGTTGTATTTTCAAAAGAACACAGATGGGTGCTTCCCAAAGATCAAGATGTTGATTGATAAAAACACAGTGGTGATTGTCGGCGCTGGTCTCGGGATCGCCGCTCTGGAGGTAAGACCCCAACTTCCAAGTTAAAGGGGGAAAAAAACTATATGTAGGCGATAACTTCACTATCATACAACAGAATAGGGCCATGCTAATCAAAAATCAAAAATCAAAAAATAAATTACGAGAATAAAGTCATAGTATTGTAAAATTCTGACAATAAAGATAATATTAAGAGAACAAAGTCATACAAGAATAAATACTAGAATAAAATCGTAATGATATGTAAATAGTCTTAATATTATGAGAATAAAGTTATAATTTTCTAACTTTATTCTCTCAAATTTTTTAAATATTTTTTTGTTAGCGTGGTCCTTGGACAGTGTGTATCTGTTCAGTGTTCATTAAGTAATTTCATTACGTTAGTTATATAATGGCCATACTGAGAAAGAATAACAATAAAATTACGAGAATAAATTCATAATATTACCAGAACAGGGTCGTAATACTGCAACTTTATTCTCGTATTACTTCAGCTTTACTGTCGTACAACTTTATCTGCAAAACCTTATGACTTTACTCTAATAATTTCATGTATTTATTTATTTTTATTTTCTTAGCGTGACCCTAATACTCCGTTGTGTCTCTTCAGCGTTCATGAACTCATATTATTATCTCCGCTCTCCTCAGATCTGTGCCATGATCGTCTCCATGACGCTCTACTGCAGGATAAAATCCACCAGGGCCTAACGAGGAGCAGGAAGTCCTTCCTCTTCCTGCCTCATCGGGGGAAACACCTACTGCAGCGTCAGGTCTTGTGCAATCGAGGACAACTGAATGATATTTTTTTTACTACATCCTGATTTATGAAGTAAATTTAATTTATGGATCTAAAATATTGATTTTCTGAGAAATCATCATGAAATCCCACTTTCCATTGTGTATATATGAAAGAGAGCTAAAGCATTAAACACGTATCCAGCTGTTGGGGAATTACATGATGCAGTTTCTGTAATAATGAAGCAAAAGCTGGTTGTTGTGCTTTAGAGGTGAATGATGTCTGAGAGCTTCCTGTATAATAAATGTAGCCCAGCAATAGTTGTTTATTTGATGTAAATTGATTCGTATTTGCAATAAATCATATATTTACATGTAAAGGGCTCCGATTATTTTGCTGCTGTCAAGTTATTGAAAGGAAAATATCACATCAGAGCTGATTAAATCTAAAGGTCTTGAAAGCAAAAAAAAAAAAAAATCTAAATAAATCACAATCAGCCTGTGCGTTGTCCTTGAAAGATCAGTAAATTTCAAATCCTAGACAAAAAATAAAGAGTTTTAGAGTAAAACTTCCATAATACAGGAAGGAAGTGCTATATATGGACGATGATGTCACATAATGTAACAGTTGTTATTGTCTGTTGTGAACAGAAAACAAATCTATGTTTTGGGAAGCTGAATGTCTAGTACATTGAAAAGGTGTGAGAGCATTTATTGGATTGAGTGAGCACTCTTGATTTCCCCAAAGATCTTCTATGCAGGAGACGTGAGTGAGAGCCATGGCAGCAGAAAGGTGAAGAGGTCAGATTTATCAGTTTTTTTTTTTGTCTTTTTCTTTAAACTTTACTCTTTCACCATCATGGGACAAACCGGGTGATCTCACTTTACTTTTGACAATACTGTAATTTAATGCACAGCTAAAATAAAAAAAATAAAAAAAAATATATTAATTATTGTTTACATCCCCAGTTGACATCTAGATGAATGTTTTTGAGGAAAAGAAATATTAAAGATGAGTATGAAATAGGAGTGAAAATTATGTTTAACGAATGAAAAGATGTGCATGTCTCTCTCTGGTGGTAGATAATTGCACTACAACTAGATATTAAGGGAAACGGAAGCAAAGGAAATTTTTTCTCTCTATGTCATATGATGTTGATGGTCAAACAGCAGGGTAGGGTTGTTGTTGATGATGATGATGATGATGATGATGATGATGATGATGATACTTTATTTCAGACAAACATTTCACCGACAAGTGTAAAATAAAACACAATACCTTTCTATGAAGTACATAATCAAACACGCCACTTATTCATATGAGTCTGAAAAGCAGTATGAGGAAGTATAACTTATATAAACATACTCCTTTTCCATTCCTAATTCATTGCATTGTTTTCCAGTTATGACAGAAAAATGAAATAATAACTATACTAATGTTTCCTAAACCAGATGAAATACATACACACACATATATACATACTAATCTGCATATCTACATACATGACACACACCTATTTATATATATATATATATATATATATATATATATATATATATATATATATATATATATATATATATATATATTTTTTTTTTTTTTTTTTTTTTTTTCAACACACCACCAAAAACCCCACCC